GGACACGACCTGACACGAGTATAGGTCCGTGCCAGGTCCGGGTCATTATTTTCGAGCCCTGCACGCCGGGCCGGGCATTTTGGCCATGTATAGAGAATGAGTAAAATATTTTATAATCTTTATCGATGATTGCACAAGGTTTTGCTACTTATATTTGTTAAGAAGCAAAGATGAGGTTGTGGAAGCGCTTAAAACTTTAAGACCGAAGTTGAAAATCAAATTGGGAGAAGGATTAAAATAATCTGAAGTGATAGGAGTGAGGATTATGTAGCTTCTTTTGAACAATTTTTTTTTTTTAATATTACATAATTCATCAAACAACGACCCTCTATTTTCCACAGTCAATTGGTACTTTTGAACGCAAGAGCAGAACCTTAGAAAAAACGATGAATGCCATGTTGGGAAATTTGAGATTACCCCAAAACATGTGGGGATAAGTTGTTTTAAAAACAAATTATATCCTGCATAAAATACCACCCAAAGGGAAAAATAAGACTGATGTAGTGAAAACGTGAACGAACGGGAAGATACAAGGAGATACTCTCTCCAGAACACGGGATACTCTCCCAAAAGAAAACACGATCAATTATTTTCATTCATCAAATTCTACTCTTCACCAAAACAGAAGAGCCCTTTAAATAAAGGCTTCAAACTCAACCCTAGCTTAATATCCAAGCAACTAATAATAATAATAATAATAATAATAATAATAATAATAATAATAATAATAATAATAATAATAATAATAATAAACATATATATATTCTTCATCATTCTCCCCCGGTTGAACATGATTCGGCCTCGAATCCGACCTGTTCCCGTTGGAGAAGTCACCAGGACAGGAATAATCCAGATTTTCCCCGATCGAACACGAAGCTCGAAGGTCGTCCAATCGCACCGACGAACACAAATTCGGGCACGTATACAACGGTTGGAAAAGCAAAGGGGCCTACTTCCCGATGCAGAATCCCAGAAGCCGAACGAAAACCATAATCACTACAGCCAGAACGTCCACTGGGGGAAGACTTCGGAACAAACAATCCAACAATGTCCCGACAGCTATTGAGTCCCGAAGGCGCTTCCAAAAAACCATCTGTCGCAAAAATATGTTGAAAATTCGGTCCAAACGACGGGTGTTCGGTCAAAGGGACCAACGGGAGGATGTCCCACGTGGAGCCCAAAGTGCTGTCAATATGTATCTCCGGCACCGGAGGCTCCTCATCAAAAATAACGTGATGCAACCTTCAACGATCGGTTTCAACAAACTGACTATCGATTTGAAGAGGTGGATGTGCGTTTCACGGATTGGTTTGCAGATCTTTCGACGGGGATCGAGGATGTGTGTTTGACGCCGAACAACGTGATTGTTGTGGATTTGCAGATGAACCGTGCCGCCGGCAACCGGGGTGTGCGCGGGGGAGTTCACGGAGGAAGTGGAGGTCGTGGTCCAGGCGGGGCGCCCCGTCGACGATCTCCACAACCACCGTCCGACGATGCAGACGGCGAGGAGACCATCTTGAAGGTGGATCCCTTCGGAGAGTGTGGCCGCCTCCGCCTGTCGAGACTAAACTCGTTGTTGTACACAACGGCCAACAAGGTGTGGTTTTTGAGGAGAATAACAGACTATTGTACGACGGTCCGCCTATTTTTGATGAGGAGCCACTTGTGGTGTCGATGGAGGACGAATACCATGTGGTTGTAGAATCATCTATGGGGCCAGAGGTTGTGCCTGGAATGGATGTTTTCAGTGAATTGAAAGATGGATTTTTATGGTCTTTTATTCAACAAGCATATGTGTTTGATAACTCGCATAATATGCCCAAAAAGGACAAAGTGGAGAGTTGCTGCCATGGATTTTCTGCTTGTGAGTATACCAAGTTCATGGCCCGTCAAATTGGCCCGATCGGGATTGTGGAGCAGTTGAAGACTAGATTACTTCGGATTCGAGGGCGACTCCTTTTCGACAGGGGGAGAATGATGGAGATAAGGATGTTTAGAATCTTTAATTGTTATTATTATTATTATTATTATTATTATTATTATTATTATTATTATTATTATTATTATTATTATTATTATTATTATTATAGATTTGTTAGGAAACTTATTATTTATCACTTTGTTAGGATTCTTGTCTTGTTAGACAAGTTAGTATTATTAGAGATCTTGTCTTGTTGGACAAGTTAGGAATAGGGTTTTGGAGTCTTATATAAAGGGCTCATCATATATTGTTTCAGTCAGTTGATTTTGAATAAAAATATGAATTGATTGTGAGTTTTATCGAGAGAGTATCTCGTTTTACGTGTTTTACGAGAGAGTATCTCGTTTACTCATTTTATCCTTCCCATTCGTACG